ATCATATTTTATTTAAATTATTTTGTAACTTTCATATAACACTATATTCAAGAATGGCTGTTTGAGTAAGCTTCTATAGTGAAGGTAATGTCTTACAGCCTCTTTTACCTGCAATTTTTTTCGGAATTCTTATTTCTAAAAAACACTTTTGCTATGAACAGTGCTGTGTATTTTCCTATATTAAAAAACAGTTATCCTTCCCTATTATTACTGTGTAAAGTAATTGTGTATTTTCCATCTAAACCAATGGCAGTATAGTCAGCTACGCTGCAGTTCTTCGTTGTGAAACAATGCTGTCAAGTATGAAAGACTGCTGTTGTCTCCCATACCATGACAGTTATTTGTCCTTTGGTACTCTGTGAAGCATTTAGAGCATAATATCAGCTGTAGAGTGAGGCTTACAGTGTAGGGAATCAGTTAAAGAAGTTCATATTCATGAAAATACAGAGCATCAGTGTAAGGCAATCCAAGATGATGAAAGGACAGCATGAAAGATTTCTCCTTCCTATACTGATTTTTACTGAAAATGTATTTGTGACATTTCTGCCATCAAGTTTGTTTATTTAAGGTATCTCAAGGTAATTGTTTAATTGTTAAACATAGCATTTTGGGAGTTAAATGAGTCGTCTTAGGAGAATGTGGCTCTGATCCAGGGTCTTTAAAATGTAGGCTACGTCAACAAGAGGAAATTAAACCGTGCAAGTGTTCTAGGCACTGGATCTTGATCACTGTCTTGATAAATTGATGGGACAACTTTGCTTCATTTTGACTGACCAACTTTTTCAAATAATTTACAAGTGCCATTTGGTCAGGGACCCCTTCCAAAAAGCAGTTTGGATGCAGTTACTTCCTCTTAGAGGAGTCGCCTCTTGTTAGAGAGTAGGAGAGTTTAGTAGTATGCAGAAAATGTATTAGTATAAAAGTAGCTTTGCAATCTGTCACCTGTACAGCGCAAAAGGGGGGAAGGCAATATATATAAAGCTTCTTGTGTTTACAAGGTATCATGATGCTGCAGGAATTTATTTTCTTCAATTAATCTTTTATTAGGTTAGGTGACTGTTGGTTATTGCTGGAGACCTTCAAATTAATTTTGTTTTCATCAGAAAATGCATTTCTTTCTATCAGTCTTATCTGATTGGGAATCAGCTGTATTAACAGCCATCCCTTAAGGACGAGTCCTGATGATTGCACTTGGTTGAATTTCAACCTAAATCCATCATGGCACAGATGGAAGGAAATAATATCATAAAATGGCAGATGTGCTCCTCTAGCAGCAGAAAGAGGAAGATGGGAGCTTCACAGCAGACTTGCTCTCTTGATAAATGTACTAAAAGCTTATTTCTAACCTCATATGACTGGGTGTGCAAGAGGAATGACAAGCCTGAAGAAAATCAGAGGTGTAGAATGACCATTTTGCAGGATATGCGTTTTCTAGGACCAACGGAATTTATGGTAGATTTGAGAGGAAACTAGTGGTTTTCCTATTTTCTATTGAAGCTATAAATCCTTCTACATTAAGGTGAGCTGGAAAAATTCTGAAGGGGGGTTAGTATAAATAATGTATTGTTGACACTGGTCTGTATCGTATTCTGTTTAAACTAGGCTAAACTAAACAGTTTGTTCTTTGTCTCTGTGTACTCCTATTGCAGCAAACTCCACCTCTCACAAACCTTCTCTGCTTGTCCCATAACATAACTTCTCTGGCTCCTTTCAGGTATCTTAAATATTGTCATAATGCTCTCAGTTCCTTTACATGTCCCTTAAGTACTGTTAAGGTAAATGGCAGTGAGTGCTGTGGCTAGTTTCAAAATACATATATACTAATTATGTATTTTATGACTGGCTAATGAAAAGGTCAGTGAAATAGATAATGTTGAGCTTACATCATACTCTGTCCTTCTGGGTAACACAAAATTAGGCCTCTACTCTATGATCAAATATGTAAGCTGTTTGTGTGTGTGTTTTTTGTCTTTTTTTTTTTTTTTTTTAAGTCTCTCTCTCTCTCCACCCCCTTCAGAATTGATTGAAATTGGCCAAAAGTCACAAATTATGAATTGAAGGCTAGGGAATGGATGGACAGACAGAAACAGTCCCATAAACACTTTAAGGGTTTAAATAGTTTTGAGTTTGAAAGCTGGATGCTATTTATTTCATTAAGAAATCGATCTGTAAATACCCACTTGTCATTTTTGTGTTCCAGGTACAGTATACCAAGTAGAGTCAATGTGATTGAAATGTGTCTATCCACTGGTGTGGAGTTAAAAATATGTTTTAAAATTATTAATCCTTTCCTCTCCTTTCTTCTCCTCTCCTTTCTCCTTCTCATAAAACCACCTTTAACTTTCAGGCTGGTTAGATTACCAAATTTGCATCAACTATCTACATTCCAATCTAAGATACATACTTGCCTAAAAGACAAAATAAAGCAAGCTGATTAGATTAGAAAATTATGAATAGAATCATGGGCTGTAATTTATTGTTCATTCAGTTTATGATAGACTCAGCAGAGACAGGGGGTTGGTAAGAGACTAGTTAGGGTTCCCCAAGTCTCTGGTCTTCCCTGGCTGCAAGCCTTTTATAAACTGTTTGCTCATTTTGTTCTGTCTGCCACATGATGTAGATTGACGTGGTACTTCCGCTGCCCTTTTCAACTTCCAAAAGTGGAAATTTTTCAGCAGCTCTATCTTCTCCCATTCTGTCCTTCTACTGAAAAAGCAGTAAAATCAGAGTAGAGCTGATATGTGTATAATGAATCAATACCTGCAGCCAACATTGTTTTTTAACTAGCTGCCTGTTGGCCGTTTGATATCATAATCTAGTTATGCCACTGTTTATAATATGATTTTTCTGCTCTGTACCATTTTATTTTGGAAGAACTAGATATGCTGTTCAGTGCTTTGATATACTCATTAAGCCCTTTATTATAAATGACTGAAAAAGACTCCCATTGTGTACATATTGTAACAAGATAATGTTGCAAGTGTTTCTTAGAGCATACTTATGAATCTAAGTCATGCAAGAGGACAGTTATGGATAATCAGTAAACTATAATTAGCCCGAAATGTAATTTTTCCAATTTTGAAGCTAAATTAATCTTAATTAAAAATAATTGCACATGCTTTCTCTTTAAATTAAAATCTCTTCTTTAACCTTTTAAAACCACTTTTAAAAGTGGTTTTAATATCAGCAGGCAGGTTTCCCTGCTTCCAAAATACAGCATTTTAAATAGTAATTCATATTTTTAACATGTTTGACCACAGTTAAAATGGCAGGTTAGCAGCTATGAATCTAGGCCACACTGTCTTCCTCAAGTTCCACTCATTCAGCACCTTCAGTTCCCTGTCTATGGAAAGGAACCTAGTATTCTACTACCTAGAATAGTATTTACAAAAAACTAAAAGCTCGAAGTATAAAAAACTTAAAAACCTGAAGCTTCATGTGCAGAAAGTATTGTTACCAGAGAAACTGAGGGTCGAAAAGTGTAAGTGCTTGTGCTGTAGCTCAATGTGTCATTCTCCATCTCTTTCTTTTTGTAGACCAGTTTGGAAGAAAAAGATCTCTCCAGGTATCCATATCCTCTTGCATCTCTTCCTGTAGATTGACGGACTGTGAAGATTTCAGTCTTCAGGCTTGACTTGGGGAGGGGATATGAGCTGTAACGTTTGGCAGTCAGACTTTTAGCCCTGGTTCTCTTGCTGTTCCACTGGGCTCATCCAAGTAATGGGTTTAATTAGGAGAGCAAGCCAGGCCCATCCTAATGTCCTTCCTGGGGGAAACACAACATTCAGTGAAACAAATAGCTAAAAAAGCAAAATATACTAAAATTGCTCAGTATATATTAGCTTTTTTTAGAGGTCAAAAGTTGATTACCCCACAAAACCCAAACATTCCAGATAATTTGATACAGAAATGTTTTTTCAGATATATTTTAATAACAAGGATTAGCTGGTTCACTGTTCATTTTGGAAGAAAACACATTTAAAGTTTCCCAAAACGTGTACAAAAGCTTAAAAATATTATCATGCGCCTTCATAACACTAAATAATCTTTCTCAAAAAGTGTGACAATAATTGCATTTTTATCATCTGCTGATATTTTATTGCTTCTTTGTTAGTACATTACATTTCACAATAATGTCTGTCGCTCCAATTAGATATTTCCAGGGTCTCTTATTGTAATAATTATTTATATAATAGCTTTCTGCTATGTTTTCAAGATAGATTTTTATATAGTTTTTTTAAACTTTGATTCCAGTTTTTGCGGAATTGCATATCAAATGTACTTCCAGATGCATTCTCCTTATTTTTCATCCTCAGAAGTTCCCAGTTTTCTTTAATCAGAGAAATTGCTGCCTTTTTATGTCTTGATCATTACTGTGAATTATGGGAAGCCCTCAAGCAAGTGGAAGACCCTAAAGAACTCCACTGTAGTGCCCAGATCTTTGTGTCTGGTGAAACTGCCATAGTGCCACTGTGTAGCTGGAGTTCAGTCAGAATTGCTGCACGCCCTATTATATTTCCTGATCTCTGTGCCTAGATCTATTCCCTGTAACAGCCTTGGTCTGCAGTTGCCATGTACCCTCAGGGGATTGTGGTATTGCAGTCATCTCTGAAACACTTCCAAGGTAAAGTTTTGAGAACCTGCATAGATCTGCTTGGGCTAGCAGCGATGCTAGCTAGTGCGAGTCTGGTAAAAATTGGCGATAGTCTTGCTAAAAGTTGCTGTTTTCCAGGTACTGAAATGATTCTGTACAAAAAGCTTAGCATTCAGTTGTATATTAAATGAGCCCTCAGCTGACATGTTGCAGATAAAAGATTAAAAACGTGAAGGAATACTGGACTAAAGGCAGTGAGGACGTTTTTTGGAGTCCAGGAACAGGCTAAGCTGTAGCACAAATAGCTTTCAAAGCTCAAAACCTAGCAGTTAAAAACAAACAAAAAAGACACACGCAAAAACAGCAGTTAATTTATTTTCATCTGTTCGCTTGTTTGATTTTGTAGGAGCGGAGTCATGAGTTTTAGTCCTTGGGACTGACAGTTCCAAGCTGGCTGCACACCACTGAGTATTTCCGTTTTACAGAAAGGTAAGTGCCTGTGAAGCCCCACCAGGGTTTCTGTACAGCACTTTTGAATTGCTTAAACAGAAGCTCAGGCAATGACCTGAGCACAGTTATTTTAAGTTTCAATCACTGGATGCTTCATTATCTTTCCTACACAATAAACAATTGCTCTCAGCACTTACACAGGATGTCTAATTAGGACAGCATTGGAAAGCTGTGAGCGAGCATTGTGGAAAGCATTGTGAGCAACTCCAATGTTACTTTTGATACAAGAACAGTGTGGGGAAGGATTAATGGCTTTGTTGAAGGCTGGTGAATAAGAGGCAGAGCTTGAGACAGGGTTAGAATTTACTGCTCCGTATGGCTCACTTCTGCGTCTTGAAAAATGCAGGAAAAAATACTGAGGTGGAGTTAGGTAAAGGAAATTCAAGAAGGAAATGAAAACGTAAGCTATGGTTTTATTCAGAAAGAACATGATGTGCAAGCCTGATTGCTCTCTCTTTTAACAGGGGATTATAATGTTAGTGGATATTGCACATAATGGTGATGAACTTTAAATTTTGAAATTTCAACAGTGAAAAGCTAGATTTTCACTTCTAGTTTCTGATCACTGTGGAATTTTTGTGATTTTTTTTGTGTTTATGTGTTTGCATATGCACAGATGCATAAATAGATACTTACATGGACAGACATGCGTTAAAGGTATTAGGCTACTTTTATTTTCCGTTCAGCAAAGAGATCGGAAAAGCCCCTAGGAGTTGCTAGGGCTCCATGATCTTTCCACTACTCTCCTAATCCAGCAGTTCTGTTTCATCGCCAGCCATAAACATTCTACCTGTCACAAAAAGTAGAGTTGCATCACTGAGAGTGTTTGCGTCATATATTGCCACTTACCAGTCTCTACCTTGTAAAGCAAAGTTTAGGTGTTCTTATTTTAGAGTTGCTTTGTTTTAGCAGAGCACTACAGAGTACTCAGAGACAGGAGAGAAATTTGATTCATTTGTCCAGGTTATTATCTCGGCAGTGTTACTACTGAGGATAATGGACTAGCCAGTAATTCAATGGGTGCAAATTTAGCTGCAGGATAAAGTAAATGTAAAGGAGGTGAGGACTTGAAAATATGTCTGATAAACTTTTGTTTTTAGATATAGTGATTTGAATTGCCATTGGCTGTTACTGCATAATGGTTTGTTTGTTTCACATGAAAATTGCTTAGCTTTTACCTCTTTAGGTTCTTCATCAGCCCCTACCCAGACAATAAACCACATATAAAGATTCCATAATACTGACGAGGTATATCTCATTATAGACTAACATGTGGTCTGTGACGCCTTCAACATTGAAAGATCTAAAATGTGGCTATATTTCAAAATTTATGGAGACCACAGAGTAATTATAAAGCACATAACTTGTAAACTCTTTTAATTACCATTTCCCATAGCAATAGTGGCATTTATCTACTATAGAAGTTAAACTCCTGTCACATAACTGAGCACCAAGTATACCTTTCCCATGACAAATCCAACTTCTGCCATCTTCCTAAAGTCCTAGGAAACTGAGTTATACCTACAGCCTCATTTCCTCAATCTAATGTGATGAGATAAAATTAAACTACTTGACTGGCTTCAAGTAAATATTTTTTTTTTAAATTTAGAGTAGTTGATTTTAATTTACTACTACTGCATTTAGTTAAATTCTGAATGAGGTTTTTCATTTGACACAATAACCTTTAAGAATCATAATAGAAAGCTGGCGATGTGTGTTTTAATACACGAGTCAAATAAGCATGCCAAAAATGGCAATTTATTTAAATACATAATGAAAGGCCCGAAAATGCTTGTGTAGTTTCCTTGGTGCAGTTACTTCAGAAGACTTTTTGAGGACTTTGCCCTGATAGAACTTTTTTAGTTTTGCTGACATGATTTCCATGTTACAACCCATAATTCTGTGAATTTGGGTTTGCCTCATAAATAAGTAACAAAATATGACCTCTTTTCACCACTTTCATTTGACTGATTTTCTTCCAGTTAGTAGCAGTGTAATTTCTGTCAGTACTGAGGATTCTTACGTATATTAAAAAAATACCTCCCCCACCCCTTATGTATAACCACAGAGAAAAAGCCACAAGTAAGTACAATGTAGACCTTTATCCAGGATATGTGTAGTTCTCTGAGTGTTGCTTTTTTCGTTCTGCACTGAATAAAAGGCCCAGGAAATACTAATCCCTGTGTTAATTTTCTAGTCCTATAAAACGATCATTCATATCTCTCTTCCAGCCTTTAAGTAATGGTGGTTGCTGTCTTTTCTTTCTAAAGCTGTCAAATAGCAGCTGCTGCAATGGGAGGTGGTAGTTTCACTACTGTGTCTGCAAAGTCCAAATGAAAGCAAAAAAATTTAAAACGTAAAGGAATGTGATTTAGAAACAGGCCTTTGCTGCTCTCAAATTCATACTCTGCTGGCTTTACAGCAATGTCTGTGCTAGGAGTAATGGGAAATAGTAATGACTGCTACTTCTTGTAATTGCTAAAGTGATCATTACTGTGATTGACTTCTGTTGTCTCTGTTAGCTCAAAACAGAGCTATCATTTCTGGAAATGAGGGGCCAAATTCAAGTACATACTAAGAACTTGTAAATGTAATTCCAGACATGTGCATCACTCAGAGGCACTATTGGAAAGAAAAGAGGCTATCTTAGGGCTGACATAGGTAATTAGGCTTTGCTTCCCATTGTAGCCCCAGGTCAGGAATATACTGCAAATCATAGAGAAAATGGGGAGCTCTAGGCTCTGTTACTGGCACGTTGAGAGAAGGCCAGAGGCCAACATTTAAGACAAGCTTGTGCTTGTTCCAACGTGTGTCGCTCCACAGCTTGATTTTGATCTGTTGTTGAACTCTATATTTCTTTCAGCTTTAGCTCTGCTTTTGTGTTTGCATTTTCGGTAGTGTCTGTGGTACCAAAGCACTGCTTTTATAAGCTTTGCTTAGGCCTAGAGCTTTTCTTTTCTGGTCAGATTCTAAATGCCTTGTCCAGGGTAATTGTGCATCTGCCAGTAGGCTGTCTGTCTACATTTCTTGTTTTGCATGTAATCACAATCTGAGCTGCTACTAATTAGTCTTCCGCAAATCCAAGCCTGTTGCTTTCCTTTTACTTTATTTATTTATGCAACTTATGGGGTTTGTTGTTGTTGTTGTTTTTTCTTTGTTTTTTTTTTGTACTACTTCAATTTTTGTACCTGCACCTTCATGGTGCAGGTTGGTTTCGAGTTCTGAGTTTATTATCAAATGTTAAAACCCATTGAGGGCACCCAAACATTCTGTTAGAAATACAGCTACTTTTTGATTGTCATCGTTCTGTTGATATCTGCTGCTTACAGATAAACAGTGTTGGGCTAATTGTCTCATTTTCCTTTTCATTAAGAGTTTTAACCTTTGTGGAAGTTTACTTGCTTCAGTCTGCCTCTCAGCTTATTTTATTACTAACTCGGGGAATCAGTCAGGCTTTTTGGGGAGCTCTTCGATGGTATGTTACCAGTTACTGCTGTCCCTATAGCAAATGCTTTTCTGACATGCTCCTCCTTATTTCCTGAGTTTGGGATAATAAGCTACTTAAAGGAACAGTACTCCAGAGGATATATTATGTACATGCTGCAGTCGTCACTGAACTGATTTCAACCTCTCTTCGTGTAGTCAGGAAGGGCTTTGTTCCATGCACTGAGTTTGCTAGCTCACTGGGCAGGGTGGATGCACCACAGTATAAACTGGTTTCTGGAATGAAGGCAAAAATATCATTTAATAATTTGAAAAGAAAAGATTAATTTTGCCTTGCCTGTTTAATATGTAACTGATGTTCTGAAAATGTTCATGTATAAAGAAAGCTGTTGTTTGTCATTGTTCTGAAAAAGGATCTATCAACTGATTATCTAAAAACTCTTTTGTCAATACAGGACTCACAGATCCTAAAGTTAGAGACAGGTCATTCATAAATTCAAAATGGAGCAGATGAAAGAGAGAACTGTCTAAAAAGAAATGCAATGTGGTCTCTTCCAATATGACCTCACTTCCTGCTTATTTCAATATAGGGAGCATTGTACTCTAGAGAATGGGCCTATAGGAATGTAGAAGAAATTCACGGAAATGTTCATTTTACCAGAATAGTTCTAGGACGGGTCAAATTCTGATCTTCGTCTTGAAGAATTCGGCTCATTTAAATTAGTAATGCATATTTGGGAAAGGCTGTCAGTTTTAAGGGACTTTGTATGTTACTGAGGACAAAAGTAACTTTGCAATCTATTGTGATTTGTCTTTGAATGGTTTGAGCAAAGGTAAGAAACTGTAGCTACATTTGCTTTCAGTAATAGTTGCTTTGTTTCTTTCCCTTTTTAATAGGACTAAATTGCAGCTATAGATTCATTCTTGATCGATGTTCCCTCTGTGAACTGTGCAGCTATGCTAAGAACCGTGGTTTTAAGTAGCATTATATCTGACAGTCAGTATCTTGATTAAGATAAACTGTAATTAAGATAAATGATGGCTGCTTAGTCATCTGTTTGGCATGGTGAGAGTTGCATTGTCAGACTAATGCTAGAAGCAATGAAAGTTTTTCATTTTTGTAATGAAAGCACAAATTAGATTTGTGCAGGGTTGTTGCCCACCTGTCCTGAACAGTGTACACCTGTTAGAGAGCAACGGTGAGCAGTTTTATTATACAGATTTTTCTCTAGAATGGAGTTCTGCTGTCTTCCCAGTGTCATGTAAGGATGCGAGTCAGCATAACTTATTCCAGGAATAATATTATTTAATCAAGATTAGCCTTAATTGCTACTCATGCAAATAGTCTTCGTTTCTTAATTCATAAAACAGTTCGGGGTGGTGCTTTTAGATTTCTTTGAGGAGATGATTAATTCAGAAATGAAAATAAATTGTTCAGTAGAGAAAACTGCTGAATGTATACATTATTTGGATTTGACATTTCATCTTTATTACCTGTATTGAGCACATCAGCTTGAGTAACAATCCATAAAAAT